ATAAATAAATAAATAAATAATAATAATAATAATAATAATAATAATAATATATATATATATATATATATATATATAATCTACTGAGGCTAGTTGCATTAGAAAACATGTGCAGTTTAATCCCAAACATGAACAGGCTCAAAATAAACAGGAACTTGGCAAAACATGGCAAACTCACCAACATTGGTACATCGAACAAAGCTAGTCAAAGCACAAAGTAACACAAGGGCTATTTGTATCAAACAAAGGGGTCACATGATACAATCCAACCAAAGAGAATAGGCTTGTTCGAGATGCACTACACTAGCCTGCCACCGGCTGGTGAGAGTAGCCGCTTGCAGTCGGAGACGTCAAGCTGCTTTCTGACACATTCTGCTCCCGGTAGTGACGCTCTCGCAATGTTTGCATACTCTATCACAGATAAAGTGAATTAAATGCATTATTTGTCAAATACACAGAAATGTTTTCATGAGCAGCAGAAACACGTTTTACACACTGTTTAATACAGTGCCATCTGTTCAGTAATATAGTAAAATGACTAATGACTCATAAAATTGACTAATTATTTTATTAATGACTAATAAAATAAAAATGACTTAAGATAACAGTGCGATTACACTAAAAAGCTTTTACTGTTATAAAAACAGAGATTTGTTAGCATTATTGGAATTGAATTGTTAGAATAAACACGCAACACACGTTGTGCTTGTCATCGAAGAATCTAACCAATGAGAATAAAGTGTGTCATCATCAAGACTTTCGCAGCCGCTTTTGAGCAACTGCAGTGCCTAACCTATGTGGCTGGTCTCGTTTTGCTCTCGCAGTACTTTGATTGCACATGTAATCGTAAGGCGGCTGCAGCGCCGATCAAAGTCGGACTAATGTTCTAACCAGAATGCATTGCTTTTGTCAGGCGGTAGCCTATCTTTGTGGCGCTGCATGAAGTCGAATAAGCCTAATGTAGGTGTGTTCGACTTGAAGCGGCGCGGCGCAGACCGATCGTTGTATGACATCAAAGTACCGCGAGAGCTATAGAGAGTAGACGGCTCCTTACAATTTCACATGGCTCTCGTGGTACTTTAATGTTATACACTGATCGGTCTGTGCAGCGCTGCTTCAAGTTGAACACACCTTGTGACACATACAACAAAGGAACCAATGAGAACAAGACACAAGAACAAAAGGACCACATGGCAGGATCACATGATTTTAGTTTTAGTGATGGTTCAGCTTGATTCATATGACCTATAGGCGTTAGCTTTAACAGCTTAATGCTGTCCACCCACAGAAACGAATGCTGCGAAAGTCCATATTTATGTTCCCGCCAAAGCTCTGCAACATACTCAATGTGAAAAGTGATGCCAATGTGCACGCGTTGTATAACTTGGAAAGCAAAACTCTTTAAATTAATCATTCATTTGTGAATTTTTTTTAATTTTTTTAAATGTCCTGATATGGCATCCATTTAGTTTGCCTTTCTTGTTTTGTATTTTTTAGAGCTCATTGTCTGCGCTATAGATTTTAAATCAGTATTTCTCTCCCCTGCTGAGAGATATCGACCGGCTTTATGGTGCCACAGTTCGATTAGCAAAAGAGGATAATTCATTTTGTTTTGAATATTTATAGAATGGCCGCACATATGCTAGTTTTTGTTTGAAATAGCATGGCATTGTGCAGTGGGCTCAGACAGGCCGTCGGTATGGACTGACCTTTGCTCCATGTGGCATACGTGGCATTTACCCACAGCCTCTGTTGATGTGCCCTTCTCACCTGCATTGATTGGCAGGCCTGTGAAGACATTCAGACGGCGTCTTGTGCAGGTCCAGCCTCATTCACTGTATCGATTGTAGAAATTGTGTGGTTTACCAAACTTTCACAGAAGTAGCCTGAAGGCCTTTTGGAAATTGGCAGTATTGAGTTGATTACGTCGACCGCATGGGTTTTTTAATGGACGATGCCAGTACCGCTAACTCAAGGGCGTACATATGCGATATGGGTTAATGCAGTGTAATTATAGCAGTTCCCAGAGGAAAAGCTGCTCTGCTATAGTTCAGGAGACTTAGTGGAGCTCTCATGCATGTTTCTTTATCAACTTCAGCTCAGATGTGTCTCCTAACATGCATGGAATAAAGTATAGAGCTGTAAAATGAATGTGGATAACAGCTCAGATCAGAGAAATGTTCATGTTGAGGTCTCTGATTTGTGCAACATATGCAACATTTATGTTACTTGAAGTAAAATAAACATTAACTAAAATACAATAATATAATAAAATAAAATTTGAGCTAGTTACCAAAGCAACATTTCTTTAATTTAACTTGATGTACAAAAATAACTAAAACCTAAATAAAATTCATCAAAAAATCTAATAAAAATGGCAAAAACACATAAATTAAACACAAACAAAAACACAAAAAGACTAAAACTTTACATTTAAATTTAAAAAGTAAAAATAGTTAATTTTAGTTTAGTTTTAGTTGAATTTTCTGTAAATGTATTACGTGCTTTTATCACTTTAGTCTCTCGTTTTTTTTTTTTTATCAGTCATTTATATTTCTATTTAATGTTAATATACTTTCATTTTAGTTTCAGTAATAAATCTGTTAGTTACCAAGACAACATTTCTAATGTTCGTAGATTTTTTTTATTTATTGATTGACTGTAATTTTTTTAAATATGCAATAGATGCATGTTGAATTTACATATTCAGCCATCTTGTATTGAATTTGTTGCATGCAATAAAACAACTTTGCAAGTGCCTCATGCTAGGATCTTTTATTTGCTAATTGTGGCTTGTTAGCTCTCCTCTGAGAAATCATATTTTGTGATGTATTTTTGGTCAGCAATTAAAGATTCCTACTGCAAAGCGCTGAAGTTTCCCACCAGGATGTGATTCCACAGAACAAATGTAACCATTGTGAGAAATTAATTATCTGTGTTATTAATTTTCTTATGAAGCCGCAGGGTTTCGGAATTATCTAAATTCAAGAAACTGCAGGAGACGTTATGCCACCATTAGCCTTGAGCTGCAAAAAGAAAAAAAAAATGAGATCACGCTGTTTGGGAAGAAAAAAGACGGATGTGGCATTTCATCAGAACCAATACGTTAGAGTTTCACAGGAAATGAGAAACATCAGGCTGCTGGTTTATTCTTATCCTGATGAATACGCCACCTCTGGGCTGGGGTCAGACAGCAGAGGAAGTATCATTTCAGCTTCATCCTATGAGCATTAGTCTCTTTCTGCTTCTGAGTCTCAATTATACTGCATGACGCCTTAAAGGTTTTGTGTGCACAAGGACACAGTTTTTACTGCATAAAGGGTTTGTTTACTGATGCCCATTAGGTCTTGGACTTACATGTGTGTGTACACGGTGTATAAATTATACAATGACTTTCTGAAGGACCAAAATGATTTTCTATGCAATGCATTACTTCTTATGAAACTCTGATGACTTATTTTTATTTCTTATTTGTTGAGATGTACATATATACAGTGAAATTAAACAGAAAACATATTATGACACATAGAAGAGCTTATAATGGCCAAATCCAGTTTATATTTTCAGAAGGATCAGAGTGAATTTCTATGCAATGCATTCAGAAGCATTTGATCTGATCATGGCTGCAATATAACAAAGAGTGAAAAATTTAAGGGGGTCTGAATACTTTCCGTACCCACTGTATATATATATATATATAAATATACACATATAACATTATATAACATGCATAATATGCACATATAAATATTATATAACACATATGTATGTATGAGGTGCCAAACAGGAAATAATTATATATAAATCTGAATATATAGATGAAAACCTGAATATATAAATGTAAATTGTGAATATACTGTATATTTATAAGTCTAAATATATTGTTATGTCTGAATATATAGAAGTAAATCTGAATATATACTTATATGTCTGAATACATAGAAGTAAATCTGAATATATAGTTATAATTCTGAATATATAAATGTAAATCTGAATGTATAGTTGTAATTCTGAATATATAAATGTAAATCTAAATATATAGTTATAATTCTGAATATATAAATGTAAATTGTGAATATATAGTTATAAGCCTAAATATATAAATGTAAATTGTGAATATATTGTTATAATTCTGAAAATATAAATGTAATGATTTTGGCTCTACAACTTAATGCATCTTTCAACGTTTCCCAATGCTAGCATGAGAACAGTTATTTATAAAGTGACTTTCATGCAAACAGCACTGCAGGGACAACAAAAGATCAGACATACTGTATATACATCAGTGGCGTTCTGATTATATAAGCTGCGAATGCTCCGCATACCCAGGCCATTTGAGAGAATAAGTTCATGGGATAATTAATATAAACATGATTATAAGTTGATCCCTTGTCATTTGAAATGTAACTTAAAGCTTAAAGAGTTAGGAATAAGTACGTACAATGATTAATTTTCTTTAAATCTACCAGTTGTGGTTGCTTCCGGGCGAGCATATTCTCCGATTGAGCTCTGTTGCTATGACTCGTCAGGATTGTAACGCGTTCTCAGTGATTTGCTGGTCTGCGGCAGATTTAATGTGCGAGGTAAGCTGTTCGCAAAGCGCTCGCCCAAGCGGAAAAATTTGCTGTTCCTGTCAGATCTCGATTGCCGAAAATCACATTGTGTTTGATGCAAAACCAACTCGATTAAATCAAAAGAAAAAAAAAAACACTGTAACTGTATATTGTTTTCTCAAGCAAAGCAAAATTTAAAAGTCCACTGAAAACGTATACATACATACGTATGTTGAAGATATACGTTATTGTCAACGTTATTGCCTAAGTGGTAAAAAAAAAAAAGTTTATAAAATATAAAATTTTAATAATAACAAACATCATATTGTTCCCTTTGTTTTGCGTATGCTCGTGTCGCTTACAATTAAATTCATTCTCTGATTTTATTATTGTTTGCAAGGTTGCAACTTTACTTTGCACAATTTTAAATATTTGTTTGGTATTTTGCATGGTCTGTTATTGGAGTAGTGTCACCCGGGTGGGGATTTTAACTCCTATTGACTGGGAATAAAAAATTTATAATTTAGCAGATGCAGAGACATATAGAGCGGGGGAATCCCCCCATCTCCCCACCCTCTGATTACGTATCATAACGTAACTACGTGTAAACGTTATTTGGCGGTTTTTACTTGGAAAACCAGCTATATTTTTCTTGCATTCAAATAATGGATAAACTTGAAACGATAAAAGAAGGATTGGAGATTAATTTAATTTACCAATAAGGTAGGAAATGTGCATACTTTTAAATCACCTGCCACGGTGATTCTAATTTGTCATCTGTGATCCCTTTTGAGTGTCCTAAAAGCCTTTGGGGGTCTTATCACTCAGCATACCCGGTTAAAAAAGTCACCAATCACCATTGATATACATATATAGTATATAGACATTTATAGAACAATATACATTGCATTTGATGTAAAAGGGGTCATATGATGCTTTTTTAAAGATCATTATTTTGTGTATTTGGTGTAACAGAATATGTCGACATGCTTTAATGTTCAAAAAACACATTATTTTTCAAATACTGTATATTATTGTACTCTCTCTCTCTCTCTCTCTCTCACACACACACACATGCGCGCGCACACAAACACACAATGCGCAAAATTCCGCATTTGAACAGTCAATAGCAAATACTTAAACTAATAACAAAACAGTAGCTGATTCAGAAGCGCCAGAATGTCATAGCAAAATAAAAATGACCTCCTCTCCTAGGTTCACGAAACGGTCATCCATAAAATGCATTGCTGTTCTGTTGTAAGTAATCTTAAAGATTCCTAAATGCATCTACTTTCTGGAAGGCCAAATAAAGTGCTTTTGCTTTCGCCTAGAAACACACAGCGTCTCCCTGACATGGCTGCTTCAACACTAACTGCGGTTACTGAAACCACGCCTTCTTTCTTTGCGTGCACATTTGGGCGGCATTATGCTAATATTTCCACATAGTGAGGTAGATATGTGGGGGCGTGTTAGAACGAGCCGTTTTAGGGGGGCGTGGCAGAGTCTTAACTTTTATAAAGAATATCTCTTTGGTTTTGAGACTTTATAGTCTTTGCAACTTCAGGGATCTTATCTATGCACAATCAGCTTGTAACACTCCAAAGAGAAAGGCAAACTTGAAATCGCATAATATGACCCCTTTAAAACACTTCCATTAGAGTAAAATGAGCACTTTGACATCTTTGAAGCATTAGCATTGCTCCAAGAAACATGCTAGTGAGCCTAATACTCAGCAGTTACTAAAACGTGAGATAAAAATATTTAATTTTAGTAAAGGTGTAGTAGAAAATGTTGCATAATGTCTTTAGGAAAATAAAACATGCAAGTCTTAATCTTATAGTGCAGTAATTTCAGTTTTAATCCATGTTGAACTCAAATGAGTTTTTGATTCTAATCCCTCCTTGACCTCCTGAAAAGGTCCCACTGTTACATAGTCACATCAACAGCAAACTCAATGTAAGCCATGCTGATTAAATACATAGATTTCCTCGGCTTTATTGATCCTCAAGGGGAAATTCTGGAAGGAACACTTTGACCTGAATGTGATATGAACATGGCCTTAGACGAGATGAATATGAGTTTCTGTAGTGGTTGTAGGTATAATAATATTATCATTTTACATATACTAAAACAGAGTTATTAGACGTTATGCTTCAAAGTGATGCTTAACTGCAAGAATTACTAACTGTGCTTTCGTCATATACTTCACTAACCTGTATAGACTGTCATTGATCGCCAAGGAACTGAGTGCATTAATATGCATTTATTTACATGTATTTACTTATGTTTAGCAAATTATTTTTTAAGTGAATTGAGGGAGGCAATAATATACATTACTATTTTTTAAAAGAAATTACTATTTTTATTCAGCAAAGACACATTAAATTAATCAAAAGAGACAGTAAAGACATGTATAATGATTTCATCAAATAATCCTGAAAAGTAAAATGCATCACAGTTTCTGAAGTATAAAGCAGCACAACTGTTTTCAACACTGATAATAATAATATTTCTTGAGCAGGAAATCAGCATATTATAATTATTTCTGAAGGATCACGTGGCCCTGAAGACTGGAGTAATGATGCTGAAAATTCAGCTTGATTACATTTCACAATATATTCACACAGAAAACGGTTATTTTAGATTGTAATAATATTTCACAATATTACTATTTTACTGTATTTTTTATAAAATAAATGCAAACTTTTTAGTATGTCATTTATAATAGGAAATAGATTTGATGAAGTCAAAAACGCTTGCCTATTTATAAAAAATGTTATGCAGTTACATTATTGTAATAATTTTTCACAATATTACTGATTTTATTGTATTTTTAATCAAATAAATGCTGTCTTAGTGAGCAGAAGAGACTTCTTTTAAAATAATTTAAATCTTATACTTACAGTAGTGTAGAATTTAACTGACATTCGCTCACAAATGTTTTTTTTTGTTTTGTTTTTTTAGCTATATTACAGTGGATTTTAATGTGCCTTATCCAGTCAGACAGAAAACACTCTTTGAAAGTCTTGGAGTAACACAATAGCTACTCTGAGAGCAGATGAAGCAAATATTTAGTGGATTTCAGTGGTGTTGAATCAGCAGCATGGTGTGTGGGTGATTCTATTAGCTCATAAGTATCATTAGGACGTGATTAGGGATTTGTTGAATATGTGAGTGATGCTGGGCGCATCTGTGTACTGCAGCATTTACAGCTCTGCTCTCCATCATGCACTGGAAAACATGTAGAGTTGTGAAGTAGCCACAGAGGAGAAACCACACACACACACACACGCACACATGCTAGGCTGCATATGAAGAGCTGTTAGGTTTGTAATCTGAAGTGTTCTACTGATGTGCTCAAACACTGAAGCACACTACACTGTCAACAAGTCATATTAGGAAATGTATTTGTGTAAAAATTCAAGATTATTATTTTGTTTTTACTTTAAATAAAACTAAATAAAAAATAATTAGAAAATTAAGCTTTTATTTATTATTATGATTATTTATTTTTGCAATGTGAAAGTGTTTATTTTCATTATAGTTTATCAAATGTTCTCCTCAGTTCTCATTATACATACATACATACACACACACACACACACACACAAATCAAGTGGAAGCGAAAGACTACTAAGCAGAAAAAAAGTTATTTTTAGTTAGTTGAAATTAAAAGTGTTATGTTAGAGCAGTAATGTAGAATCAGCAGTAGGATTTAGAAGATACTCACATCTGAGATCCTTTATTTGAAACATTAAACATTTTTTTTGTGTGTTTGCTTTTTAACTTTGAATACAAACTTATCTGCTTTTACTTTTGTAGCTATTTTGATATATATATATATATATATATATATATTTTTTTTTTATACTAATGTTTGATTTTATTTTTGCTGTGAAGTTTATATGCATATCTTAATAGCCTAATTAAGATGGACCATTAAGATGAGTTGACATGTTTTTCTTATATGTTGATATATTTTTTATTTTATTTTATATTTTTATATCGATTTTGAGGGTGAAATGTGGGCAGAATATGTTCTTGACAGCTTTCATTCAATCGTGAGCACATGATAAGTTGACGTCATTGAACAGAATGTGTTGAGGTCAGTGAAGGATGTAGGAGACATTATGTGCTGGATGAGGGGATGGATGTGGACTCAACATCACTCACATGCTTTCATGATAAACAGCCTCTGCTCGCTTTTATGACCAACATATCATTATCATTTTTCTCGTCAGTACCTTGTTGGGATATTCAGTGTCAGAAAAAGACGCCATAGTATAATGAATGCCTGACGACATGCCCTTGCCATGTGGACATGAGCATGGAGCATGGAGCATGTTTTTGAGCATGGGCATAAAGCGTTCATTCATTCATTCATTCACATTTTTATACTATAAAATATAGAACTAAAAATATTTCATTATAGTTTTGTATTTGTGCATGGGCATTAATGCATGTATATATAACCATTTTTGTTTTATAAATATATGTGACCCTGGACCACAAAACCAGTCATAATGGTCAAATTTTTAATAAATAAGCTTTCCATTGATGTATGGTTTGTTAGGGTAGGACAATATTTGGCCGAGATACAACAATTTGAATATCTGGACACTTAGGGTGAAAAATAATCTAAATATTGAGAAAATTGCCTTTAAAGTTGTCCAAAGGAAGGCCTTAGCAATGTATATTACTAATGATAATACATTTTTGATATATTTACGGTAGAAAATTTGCAAAATATCTTCATGGAACATGATCTTTACTTAATATCCTAATGATTTTTGGCATATAAAAAAAAATCGATAATTTTGACCCATACAATGTATTTTTGGCTATTGCTACAAATATACCCATGCTAGAATTATTGTCCAGCCCTAGGATGTCCCAAGCTGATCTCAAGGATCAGGATCAGGGCCGATTAAGCCATCCTAAGCCCGATCATTATTTTACTGCAACTGTCATGGTGGTGTTGTGCAGTAGGTGCTGGTATGCACCTTCCAGTAGGTTTGCCAACCGCCGTTAAAAGGAAAAGAAGACGTTTAAATGTGCTTGTGTGACAAAACCACTGGAAGGCATAGACGTCTGTAAGATGTCAGTTTTACATACATTCTAAATAATAAACATCTTAAAGACATTTTCTAAACGTCTCTTTCTCATCTTATAGGAAACGTCCTGTAGATGTATTGCAGATGAGCAAACACTCTAAAAAATACATCTTGAAGATGTAAATGCAAAGGTCAAATACGTGTGCTATCAGGGAGGATTCAGTTTACGGCACTTCTACATTATTCCTATGATGTCCGATTGACTGTCGCACAACTCTGACTGAAATTCAATGCTTTCTCCAAAGGTAAATACTAGAGCCCTCGTATCTCCCAGTAATAAGACCATCTCTGGTGTTAAAAAATACATCTTGAAGATGTAAATGCAAAGGTCAAATACGTGTGCTATCAGGGAGGATTCAGTTTACATTATTCCTATGATGTCCGATTGACTGTCGCACAACTCTGACTGAAATTCAATGCTTTCTCCAAAGGTAAATACTAGAGCCCTCGTATCTCCCAGTAATAAGACCATCTCTGGTGCGTGACACACGAGAGCCATTGAGGTATGTTATAGCTCCTCATACACACGCTACAGCTTCCATGTTTAACATATTTGATGTGCACTTTAGTAACGAATCTCTCGACGTCATTGTTATAATGCTCATAGTACTATAGGTTGCGTCTTGCTTCGGATTTGACTGACCTACTGGCATTCTGACACAAGCTTAATGCTTTCTAACCTCATCTCCCTTTTTGTGCAATTATTCTGCTTATTGTACATATAAAACACAAAAAGTTTAAATCAGTAGTCCTTTATTCATAATTTTGACCACACAGTCCATTTATAATGTCTATATGGGGACACAAAAAAACCTGATCGGGACATCCCTATTTAGTGCTAAAGCTAATATTATACTACATAACATTATACATTAACTAATATTATACTATATAACATTATATATGTGGTCAAATGTATTTGGTCATCTGTGAGGGTGCTACTCCAAACATAGGCTCCTCTTTGTGAATGTTAAACTTGAATCATGTCTTTATTTAACGCTGAGTCAGCGAAACCATCCTGTCTTGGTATCGGATTTTCCTTCATGCATTGGGCTAATTACAAAGGCTAATTAAGATGTAGGCCTATGTTGTCCTTTGGTGAGTCCTTTGTCACCACAATGTAAGTGATCCGCATTGATTTTATTTGCTCATTTCTTTTTAATTGCATGGCTTTGTCTCCATGTGAAATAGGAGCTCACGGCCACCTCAATTCATGAAAATTAAAGTCAATATTATTTGCTTCCCTTTCACGCGGTGTCCTTGTGCATAAGATATAAATGAAGAGTGAATTACATTAGATTTTAGAAAGGCTTAAATGGCAATAGTGATGCATTTAAGAGGCTAATGTTGATCTCATAACAACAAGCATTATATTATATTATATTATATTTTTGAGCATGTACATTAACCTAGATTTTAGAAAGGCTTAAATGGCAATAGTGATGCATTTAAGAGGCTAATGTTGATCTCACAACAACAAGCATTATATTATATTATATTTTTGAGCATGTACATTAACCTTTTTTATTTATATTATACATTTTTTCAGTTGATTTTTAATGTATTCAAACTAAATAGAGAACTTATATTATGCATTATATTTGCATTATCCTAAATAAGGTCATAATGGCTCGTATCTAAATGCATCTGCTCTGCTTTTGTAACATTCAACAGTGCATTTCATTTTCTGTCTGTTTTTTAGAGGAAATATTTTTGTCCAAAAAGGTTTAAAGTTTTTATGTCATGTCTGTCAGTTACTCGAATGAAAAGCTGCATTTAGCAGTTAGATAACACTTAGAAATGCATCTGATTGTGTTGCGTAACTCCCTGGAGTTGTGCAACACTTTCTAATATGCTTTCCTCAAAATGAGCCGTTTTTATCTCTCGCTTAAAGGGGTCATGAACTGCCTTTTTTGTTATTTATTTATTTTTAATTATTTTGTACTGTTCTCTGAGGTCTACTTATTATGTTATCAAGATTTGTATATAAAAAACATCATCATTTATAAGTAATAGGCTATTTCCTGTCTTGTTTTGACCCCCCTCACCGGAACACACTTTTTGAATAGGCGTGGCAGATTGTAGACTCGGAAGTAAACGCCCACTGCTATGATTGGCTAACAGTTGTGTATGTTTGACAGCCTACATCTTTCAAAGAAGGATGCTGATGTGATTCAGGTTAAAAACGCATAAATACTCAGAGCATATCAAATGATCTATAATTACAGATAAAGCAATCGTGACCATGTAATAAAAACAATTACTTGTGTGGGGCGACATTAATGTCGGGTCCAAAATAGTCAGCACAGCATTGTCTTTTAGTTTCAATATTTCGGAAACTCCTGCATTGAATTGTGCCTTTTTTGTAAACAAATCCCTGGTAAAATGAAGTGAACAAATCACCAAGTTCTTATGGACATGGTCTGGAACTTCATTAAAAATAAAGTTCATCCAGAAAGAAGGCAATGCAAATACTGTTTTTCCACAGCTTGGCACTGCACCGTGTCTTGTTGTCTTCGGAGCCATCTTTATCATTTGATTTATGTTTAGACTTGTGTTTGCCTTTCTCGTTACTTACACATGTGTGAATCAGTGGGCGGGGCTAAACAGGCAGCAATGTAGAAGCAGGCGTTGATCTTCTTCTGTGGAGGTGGTACGTCATAAAGTGGCACATTCCACAATTTGTCCTTTTGGCAGACTGGCTTCAATATAAGCTGTTTATAGACTAATGAGAAATATTTGAGTTCCGAAAATTACATGATGTTTCTATAGTACAATTGTTGTATAGTACAATATGTCAAAAGATCAAGGGAATTTCGATTTCTCAGTTCATGACCCCTTTAAGTATGAAGTTAGTCATGCATCAGATGTTCTTATACGATTTGAGATAGCAAATGCAAATGTACAGTGCTATTGTCAGTTTTGAGTGGAGGTAATTATTCCTCATAATTCCTGTGAGTGACAGCTGGGATGCCCGGCAAGCTCTAATGTGACGAGGTCAGCAGGGCTGTTGCCATCGGTGGCCATCTCCATAACGACATATCCAGCTGTCAGCTGTGGAGCTGCAGATGTTCACATGTGCCACCCAACATCCCTTCTGCCTTGGACAAATGAGAGGAAATGATTTCATGTCCATTAGTGACCATCAGTCAAAGCAATCATTGTTTGGTTTGTGAAAAATTATTTGAGTAATGCAAGTGATCATAGCATGGCATAGGATATATATATAATTTACTTACTTATCCATGTCTTTCATTTATATGTTTACATTTCAAAACATTTAACATTTTATTAGTTTTATATTGCAATTTTAACCATATTTATTTGTTTGTTTGTTTGCTTCATCTGAGAGTATGTACAGTACAATACAAGTATATAATTTAGGTGAATAAACAAAAGAGTATTACATATTATTACATATTTATAAATAATATACATATATAAAGCTATATATATATATATATATATACACACTATCAAGATTTTCTATTTCTTTCTTTCTTTCTTTATTTATTTCTTTAAATATTTAAATATTGCAATTTTCAATTTATTTATTTATTTATTTAGCTGACCATATTTACAATACAACTATATGCATTTCCTTATTTGGTTTGTCCTTTCCTTCATTCCAATTTAGGTAAAAAAAAACAAACAAATAAAATAAATACGTAATGTTCATATATAAAGCCATATATATATATACAATAGCAAGATTGATTTAATTTGATTACTTTTACAATAGATAGATAGACAGACAGACAATGGATGGATGGATGCAGTAGCGGTTTTTGGCACGGGCGAACTGGGCAGCCTCCCGGGGCGGCATTTTTTCATGATACATAGGGGGCGGCACGAGCAGTTAAAAAAAATTAAAAATCCTCTGCGCCGCCGCCACGAAGCGGTTTTCTATTTTCTATCATTTCACTGTGTGGGGAATTGGCGGCGCGGGGGACAGTTCACCTCTGGGTCTCTCCCAAATGGAACGGACAAGGGGAGGGGGTATCCACTGTATAGAGCAGTGGTTCTCAACCTGCGGCCTGCATGCGGCCCGTCACGAATTCAAATGCGGCCCACCATGCTGAACACAATAAAAAATAAATACTTTCAGTTTTACAATTCATATTAGTTTTTACATTCATTTAAAAATGTACTAAATAAATATAAGCTATAGCCTAATGTTTTTATGTAAAATAATTTTGTTTTTCATATATTATTTTCAGACATGAGCAGTACTCACATAGCCTAATTAACGTTACGCATTTAAAGTAACGACCAAGCAGCCAGCTGCAGACAGTGAGCATATGTTTGATCAATTTAGCCTTCTCAAATCATCACGACTTGACTAAAATAAAATCTATAGATATAAAACAGTTCAAGCATATAACAATGTTTAAATGTTAAACCTAGATAAATGTGCGTTATATCCAATAGTTTGTGCGGAGACACTTTGCAGGACATGGAGGCGCCAGCGCGATCACTTGCAATTTTTTTCAATGGATACACCGTCATTTTTGCTCATAAAGGTAAGAGTAATACATAATTCGTAACTGTAAATGGTCTACTTTTATTTGTGTTTACTCACAATATCAACAAAACGTTGTGCTTTTATAAAATAAAGAAATCAAACATGATGCGCTTTCTGCCGTCTCGTCTTGAACAGGAGCGCTTCACAAAAATGAACCGAAACTCAGCGAATACATGCCTCACAGACATGATAAATATATCTATAGAACGCTTTAAATTACTACTTAACGAAATCAAACAAATCAAAAACAGAAACACTTTCATTATGATCATAATCCGTAAAGATGCACTTCTCTTTAAAGGTGCGTCTAATGAGGAGATGGTTGAGTCAGGATCGACAACTTCATCCTTGCGACACCAACTCAGAAAACACTCGTTTATTAGTAAATAACTCAAATATCTCCTTACTGTTTTCCCTTGACGCATTTATGGTAATTACTTTTGCCGATGTTTTGCGGCAAGCTTAAGCCTATTGTGTGCATTTGAACACAGAACTCGATTGAACTTTAGAACACAGAAAACGATTTGACTCAAAATGTATCAGAAGAGATGAAAGAAAGATAGTGGTCATCTGCGCAATTCGGAAAAAGAAGAGGCTTTTCTGCATTACAATCTTAAAAATAAAGGTGCTTCAAAAGGTTCTTCAAGCGATGCCATAGAAGAACCATTTTTGGTTCCACAAAGAACCATTCAGTCAAAGGTTCTTTAAAGAACCATCTCTTTCTTACCTTTTTGTAATCCGAAATCAAACAAATCAAAAACAGAAACACTTTCATTATGATCATAATCCGTAAAGATGCACTTCTCTTTAAAGGTGCGTCTAATGAGGAGATGGTTGAGTCAGGATCGACAACTTCATCCTTGCGACACCAACTCAGAAAACACTCGTTTATTAGTAAATAACTCAAATATCTCCTTACTGTTTTCCCTTGACGCATTTATGGTAATTACTTTTGCCGATGTTTTGCGGCAAGCTTAAGCCTATTGTGTGCATTTGAACACAGAACTCGATTGAACTTCAGAACACAGAAAACGATTTGACTCAAAATGTATCAGAAGAGGTGAAAGAAAGATAGTGGTCATCTGCGCAATTCGGAAAAAGAAGAGGCTTTTCTGCATTACAATCTTAAAAATAAAGGTGCTTCAAAAGGTTCTTCAAGCGATGCCATAGAAGAACCATTTTTGGTTCCACAAAGAACCATTCAGTCAAAGGTTCTTTAAAGAACCATCTCTTTCTTACCTTTTTGTAATCTGAAGAACCTTCTTTCGCCACAAAGAACCTTTTGTGAAACAGAAAGGTTCTTCAGATGTTAAAGGTTCTTTATGGAACCATTTAGACAAAAAGGTTCTTCTATGGCATCGTGAAGCACCTTTATTTTTAAGAGTGTAGGTAGGTTTTCTTTCTTTTTGTTACTCTTTGTACAGCAGTTATTGTTCATTCTAACTTAATTTTTTTAATGTAGAACATGTGTTACATAAATACATGAAATGTAGAACATATAAAAAAGTACTCGTGGCTCCTCTGCCAGTGGGTGCCCCTCCCACGCATAAAAGTGAAACTCGAAGGGGGTCTCGCCCAGGGTGTAGTTCAATGTAGAACCGCATGTAGAACATATAAAAAAGTACTCGTGGCTCCTCTGCCAGTGGGCGCCCCTCCCACGCATAAAAGTGAAACTCGAAGGGGGTCTCGCCCAGGGTGTAGTTCAATGTAGAACCGCCACTGGATGGATGGATGGATGGATGGATGGATGGATGGATGGATGGATGGATGGATGGATGGATGGATGGATGGATGGATGGATGGATGGATGGATAGATAGATAGATAGATAGATAGATAGATAGATAGATAGATAGATAGATAGATATAGATTGTGAAATTGTCAAAATGAAGCTATGCAATTATTGTCTGAAATTATTGGTGGGCCTTAATAATGAATAGCATAGAAAAGTTGTTTCAGAAAGGTTATTTTATTTATAATAACATGAATGAAGAATCATTTCCAATAAGACCAATGTTGATTTTGTGTCTGCAAGCCCATAATCAACGTGATCTCATGATAATTCGTTTTTAGTTGTCATATGAATTACCTTGTTTTCAATTTCATTATTAAATTGTTTACTCATTTAACTTACTTATGAAATTATAACATTTAGTTTTGTTGTGTGATTTCTGCTGCCAGCTTGTTTCCAAGAATATGCCTACATAATGTTAAACACAACTTCACTTTAAACCTTAAAATAAATAACATTTCTGCAATCGTTTAACCTTTACTTGTCATGTAATGTTTACTTTGATTGTCATGGGCCACAAAAGGCCTTTTCCCCGACATGCTGTGACTGACAATAGAACTATAAAATACACCAAAAACGCAACATAATTATGAAGTGAAACAATTTTATTAGTGCGCTGTAATCCAAATCTTCCGAATCCATATGACTGCGAAGAACGGACCCAAATCCAAGCCTTTATTTGGCGATCTTCTTCTCCATCCCGAGCAGCGAGTCTACTAACCGTAAGCAGCAAAGCCTGCGCTGACTGATGCGCTCTTTACAAATTCAAATGTTGCTGCTTCAAACGACAGGTTTTACGGCAGGATAATCGAACGTTCATTGGCTCTCGCCTGCATTCGTCACAGATTGCGACATGCCATGTTTCTGTGGCGCCTTCACGAGTTCACGGAGTGGATCGGGAAAATTATCTGGATAATATTTTCAGCGATTAACAACATAAATTCTGCTCTGGATCACACAAACCTACTGTATTCCGCCAGAGAGGACTGCGGGTGCAACGCATCGTCATTTGGATTACTTTTGGTACTGCTTTTGACATTTTTGCAATAAATAAATTATTGTTATTGCATTTATCTGTCTGTCATGTTTTTCTTATACTGAACATAAATGTTTAGGTTTATAGGTAGGAGTGGAATTAGCGACTATAAAATATTTTAATGCTATATTGTTACTAAAATGGTTATTTTCCTGTTTATTTCGGTCATTTGCGTTTTATATTCGCTATATAGGTAGGTTAAGGTTTGGGGGTAGGTTAAGGGGTCTAAAAATCTAAATCACTTATTGATCTAATGATAATAATGCATTGACATGAATATCTTGATTATATAAAAGATACGTTAATATTTTTAAGTTTTTTAGCTAAAAATACGTAGCGATTTGTACGTTTTAAATGTTGAAATACGTCTAAATTGTACGTTTTGTGCTTGTAAATGTTACGTATTAATACCTACGTATAAACATGAGACCAGGCTGCCATAATAAACAAAGTGAGACACATAGAGCGATACTGTCATTGAGAGTGTGTTGAAGTCTCAGTGGAGTCTGTTGTCTGTCCTCTCAGCACATTTAAGCTCTATTAAGGGCTGTGTTTCTTCTAAAACTACTGTCTCTATCGCTTTCACCTCTGATGTTGAAACACACTCACTCTTGACTGGTGTACTTGAGTGAGCACTATCTCTGTCCTCTTCCTCTTCCAATTGATTGAGTCACAGATGGTAAATGTTGACAGATATGACAGGTACAAACCAGAACCTGAACCCCTGTCTGACAGAAAAACAGCCGAGGACCGAAATATGAACTCAGAAACGCGGCTGGTGTTCATAGACACGTCTCACCGCTGCTCGACTGAGTGGGTGTGATTCCTCCTGCGGTTTGTTATTAAGAAGGATGCCATTTTGTAGATCGTGCTACTGTTTTGTGAAGTCAAACCCTCGTTGAGAGTTTCTACCGCTCATGCTTTGTTATTCAGGTTGTTTTTTGGAGCTGTCAGTCAATATTTGCATTTTGATTAAATATGGTCAAAAACCTAGTCCAAGCAATCCTTGTTCAAAAATATGTTGTAAGCACATTTTGCTAACGTTATGAAAATGTTATTTCTGAATGATCTTTAAATGTCTAGTTTTTAGTGTTTCATTTTATTATTTTTCAGATGTTATGGAGACGTTACTTTAGAATGTTCCCAGAACCCTCTGAAACCATGTTTGTTCATAGCTTTGAGAGAACCTTGCCAGAACATTCTGAAAACGTTCCCCATTAGCTGGAAAGTTCTTTCTAGCCTTGATTTCATCTCTTAAAAAAAATAAAAATAATAAGTTAGATGAACATCCAACTAAAACGTTCCAGAAAAATGTCCCATGACCTATATATGAATGTTTTGTGGTAACGTTTTGAGAACTTTAAACAAACCAGAACCAGATAAATTTGAACATTCATTTGTTCATGACTTTGAAAGAACCTTGTTAGAACATTCTGAGAACATTCCATGTTATTATTTTTTTATTCATTTTAATTTATTTAGTTTTAGTTATTTGCTTTTAGTTACTCATTTTTGGCAACTAGAAGAAATAAAGTTTGTTATTGCTTTTTCCATTGCTAGCTAGCTATACCTTTATCACGTAAATGCATATTACATGGTTGTGATAATTTACAAAACAGTTTGGTCATCTAATTTAAATTAAGCTAATAGAAGCAGCATTCATTCAGGTTGTAGCGGTTTTTGACAGTTGAGAGAGATGGCAGCTTTCCCGCGAGTGGGCGTGGCCCACAGTGTTTGAGAGCAGAGAATACTGAAGAGAAGATTTTCATACCTTATTTTATTTACTTTGTGTTTTATTTATTTATTTATTTAAAATTTGACTGGGTGGTTAATAACACATTTTTCTGTGGTGTGACAAACTCAGAACAAATATTTAATATTGCTTTACACTGACTTTAATTATAACACCCCTGGTTTATAACGTCTCTAGGTTACGTATGTAACCATGGTTCCCCAAGGGAACGAGACGCTGCGTCGAGATTCGCTTTGGGAACGCCCTTGCGTGACCGCGTTCTGAAGCACGTGTCAAATCCGTCCAATGGAGCAGCGAGACGTCACGAGCAGGGTGACGTAAGCACCAGATCAGATGCGTGTTTAAATCTCAGTCCCTTTTAAGGTGATTATTGGATTCTTTGATGATTTTTCAAAGGTTGTGGTTAAGTGATGTGAAATACTGCCATTCTTTTTCTATTCTCTCTCTTTTCCATACTTTGTTTCATTCTGTGTATATAGAAGTGTTTTGCTTAGTTATGTTAGATGTAGTTTCATTTATTAAATCCCTTATATTCACAACGGATTGTCTCTGTTTGCTGCTCACAATTCGAAGTCAATGAATGTGTGAACCCTTGCTACATTTTGCTAAATTACTGCTAGCACTGCACAAAGAATGACAGTTTATTCTTCCTCGGCCAGGAAAATAATAGTTCCTTGAATTAATAATTGATTATATTGTCTGCTCGGTGGACGGACAGATCAAATAATTGTAATATTGATTCTGCTACAGTTAATTCGAAGATATAATCTAAATATTTATTATTGATCATAACCAGTTATAGTTAGTCATAAATATTTCCATTTAAGAGCTAATAAAAAACCCTACAACTATTTTGATACATTCTGAAGATATTAAGCTGATTTGCAGGAGTATAGGCTGGTTATATGTGTTGTTTTTTTTACTATAGGCATGAATACATATGGCGTTATGAAAATACACTTTGTAAATGATTTTTACAAATGCCCGGCCCCTGAAGCAGTGCTGTGGGCTATAACCAGCTCCTCTGTCTCCAAATTGGAAAAGACCCGCTCAGACTGGAGAGAAGCTCAGAGGGAATGTGTTTTGAGAGAGAGTTGGACTTGAAGTGCAGCTTACAGTTGGGAAAGTCTCGTATTACCGCTCATATTACTGGGAATGATTCATGATAACCATTTTAATATTTTGCTAGGGAATGACAGCATCTGTCAACCAGACACACACAAAAATCTCAGCTACAAATGATGTGATTGCTTTTTGGTTCCTTGAAATAACATTGCATGAAATGTGTTACAATATTTATGTTTGTGTGGTAGTATTGAACATTGAGTATTGAATATTGAGCATTATTATTATTTTAATTTGTGTTTATGCTAATAACTTTTGTACTGTAAGGTCTAGAAGGAAAATTATTTTTGACTTTTATATTAATACCTTATCTCACAGCTGGTAAAATGCATTTAATATTATGCACAAAATCTAATATAAGATATACCAACAATGTTTTTGAAGTCTCTTCTGCTAACCAATACATTGATTTATTCAAAAATACAACAAAAACTATATATATATATATTTATAT